GCAACAGCAAAACCGGGTTCTTGAAGCCCCTCTCCTCCAACAGTCGCCTCCTCGTATCCTATTACGATCGTCGGTGGATGTAAACGTACATTCATGAACAATAAAATTTCTTCAAAAAAAAAAAAAAAAAAAAACAAATGATTCCTCAAAAGGTATACACACCTGCATCAGAAGCGCGTGTCCGTTGTGTATGGGATTCCTCAGCTGGAAGGCAAAGACCGCGTCGGCGTTCATAGCTCGGCAGCGGTCACGTATCTCGTTGGGTGTGAGCCGATACTCGTCGAGATTGTCGTTCCAGCGTATGCGCTCGAAAACCTCGAGTTCGCCACCGAGCAGCCAGTCACCCGACTCCAGGACCATCCTCACGCTCGGGTGGCCCGGATTACTCGTACCAAACTGCCAGCCGCATCGCTCCTCCTTCCGGTGAAAGTAGAACTCTGGACGACGGAGGATCGCCAGATCGGCCTTGTCGTACCTCAGACAGATGGCCGGCTGGTCCTCCAGACGGTCCTTGTCCGCCGTACTGACGGCCAACACTATGGGGATCGATTGATTGATCTCCTTGCCATCGTGCAGCAGACACTTGAGATGCTGCACCTGCAACAATTGTTTTTCGATTTCGGAGCCAGATCGAGAGATAAGAAGGTCGTTGCAGCAGATAACGCGCGACGGGCGATAAGATCGGTATCGAATCGTTGCGAGCTCTCCCGCTGACAGACGCCATGTGTAACCGATAACACACCTGGAGATACTGCTCCTCGCGCATGAAGCCCGTCAAGGGCGCGGCCCAGCCCTCGGCGAGCACCTGCATCCACTGCACGTCGACCTTGCCGATCTCGAGTTTCTGGAGGCTCAGGGCCTCGGCTCTGGCCGCTTGAAGCCTAGCAGCGGGGACGAAGAGCTCACGGACCCGCGCCCCGGGTTCAGACTCCTCGGGAATGATGTGCTTCTTTTGAAGGAACCGGACCACCCGGAGGGCCGACTCCTCGGGCGTGCAGTTGACCGTCGTGACGACGAGGTCGGGCCGCGAGGGCCGCTCGTACGACTGATCGATCCCCGTGAAACCTTTGATCGCCCCCTGGCGCGCCTTTTTGTACAGGCCTGCGTGAACGAACCGAATTGTCTTCAATTTGGGAGGATTTGTGAGAAAACAGTGTATAAATAAATGCGATGGTGGCGATACGTACCCTTGACGTCCCTGGATTCGCAGACGTCGAGCGGCGTGTCGACAAAGACCTCGAAGAACGGGAGCTCGAACTCGTTGTGGATGTTGCGAGCCATGAGCCGGTCCTCCTCGAAGGGCGAGACGAAGCTGCACAGGCATATCTGTCCACTGTCGGCGAACAACTTGGCGACCTCGGCGACGCGCCTGATGTTCTCCGTGCGATCCTCCGGGCTGAAGGTGAGGTTGCTGTTGAGGCCGGTGCGCACGTTGTCGCCGTCGAGGCCGTACGCGGCGATGCCCATGTCGACGAGACACGCCTCCAGTTGGAAGGCTATCGAGGTCTTGCCCGCTCCGGAGAGGCCCGTGAACCATACGGTGCAACCACGGAAGCCGCGCACTGTGCCCAGGGCACGGCCCCGCTTCTGGCGCGACACATGGTGCGCTTGGAAGGACACGTTCGTGCAAGTCTGCGAATAACACGTGGAGAGGCTTTTTAGGTACAACAATCGCGTTTTCAAATTTATTTACATGTTTATTGTTTTGTTTCAAGGTTTGCGATCGTGTTGGTCAGCAAGTAGTTGGTGGGACGATGTCAGATAAATAATATGTATAATCGTTAAAGTGCAAAAAGAAGAAGAAGAAATAAAAGAATTCGTACTTCGATGGAATCGTCGTTCCCGAGCGGCAGGAGTTGTCGAGATGGCATTATTTCGTTGTGCCGAACGTCGCGCGCTACTTAATTTTTTGCCACGGAATGACGGACATTTAAGAACTCACTCTCATTTTGATGCATCTTTATCTTGGCGCTCTTTGATAAGATAGATACATTTTTGATCGATGCGCATTTGATGATTAAGAGCAATGATCATCTTTTTGTTTTAATTTGTTTTTGATTTAAAAAAAAAAAAAAAAAAATCATCCAGGTAAGAGAAATTATAAATTCCATGCATTACTTTTACCGTGAGTAAGCATCGGTACAAAAGTGGAGCAATAATATATACTTTGGGTCCGGTTTTGAGCATCGTATGCATGTATATACATATACGCAGGTACAGGTTTTTATCCGATCGAGCGCAAGAGTAAAGTTTATCTTAACGACATAGAAAGTGACTCTTCATTTTCTTTAAAATCAAAGATAATTTTATAAAGCTTGCGAAAGTACACGTAGTTTTTTTCCATTAATTTCGTAGTTATCAATAACGTAATAAAAAATACGTTATTTAAGCAATAACGTTGAAAATAATGAGTAAATTTATTATAACTCTTATGTTGTACAAAGAAAAGATATTATTGTGTGGATATCATTATTGAGCAATAGATAAAATAGGATCAATTTTTGCTTCTAATGACCTACATTTATACAAAGGCCTCATTTTGTTAGATGATATCATTATTCAATACGATGTATTAAGTATCTAGTTGGATCACAGTATATATAAATGACCAAGAAATATGATACGAAGTAAATGTAATTTGTGTCAAGATAAACTAAGAGGCAAATTTTTTCTTCTAAAAAGCTATTAATAGTTTTTTTGTTATCGTCACTCGCATAAGTATTTATTAAATACTTTATATCATATGACTTGATAAAAGATCGTTACCTGAAAAAGTTTGTCAAAAATGGAATGCAAAATAGTTAAGATTCGCTAGAGTTATCTTACATATTGTTTTTTTTGCACAAGTGTCGTATTTACAATATTAATTAAAAATGATACTCCAGCGCTAATCATCAGCTTTCCAAATTGATATAAAATAGTCTTAACGTTTAAAAATCAATTGATTAAAATATTGTTTTTTTTTTTTCATCGTTGATCGTTCATTTGTTTTGATAATACTTTGCAAGTACGTCCCAAGCTTTGGGAGCCATAAAACCATTCGGCGGCAGCTCGCCGGTTCTCGCGAAATCTGCAAACGAGACGGTAAATTCAGTCATAGTTTTAATTCATGAGAGTAAAAATGAAAAAAGTAAAACTCACTTCTCATCCTCGTCCCTGAGATGAAGTCAAAATCTTGCTTCCGAGCGGGGTCGAAAAAGGACATTTTTTTATTGACCATGTCGTAGGCAGCAACCTTGAAGGGAATGATTTCCAGTTTCTGCAGGCCTCGGGCCATGGATAGGACGCGAGCACCATGAGTCGGATCGTAAAGATTACCATCGAGCGTCGCGGTGCTATCGGGATGTGGAATACCCGCGGGATCCCGGCCCACGATGTAGAAATTTGCACCCGCGTTCATTCGCGCCTTTGCGTGCCATTGGACCTGATGCAAATTGAAGTAGACACGTATTAGATACTCCATCATTTATTTTTGTTTCATACGTATTCGAGCTCGTAAAATAAAAAAATAAAAATCACCTCGACCGGTCCGGCATACATCATCGGGCTCGGAAAGATGGCCAGCAGAGTTGATTTGGCGTCGAGCACACCATCTTCCAGGACGGCTTTGTGTTGCAGCATACGCGTCTCGAGAGGCACGTCGTCGTCCTTCGTCCAGCCACCCAGCGGGTGCAACAGCAAAACCGGGTTCTTGAAGCCCCTCTCCTCCAACAGTCGCCTCCTCGTATCCTATTACGATCGTCGGTGGATGTAAACGTACATTCATGAACAATAAAATTTCTTCAAAAAAAAAAAAAAAAAAAA